CTGTTACCGCTGCAAGAGTGAGGTGCTGCAGAGTCAGAAGTCTGTTGCAGCAATGAATGCTTGAACCAGAGGTGGGAGAAAGTAGGAGTATGCAGGAAAAGGTTCCATCTTGCCATTGCCATGCTGATAGACTTCTGTGAGCGTCATCACCACTTTCTCTGGCCCAGGCAGGTGCCTCTCCTGTGAGCACTTTGATGTGATACAGAGAGAAGTTGTAACTCCTCACAGAACTGAGCGGAGGGACTGTTCCTGTCTGGTGAGGAGGAAATGAGATTGCCAGGTAGGAGACCTGAGATCAGTCTCCAGGTCTGCCAGTGTTGGTTTTGGACTAAGTTATGCCTGATCAGAACAAAAACCGTTTGATTTTACTCAAGGCATTCCCTTTAATCCCAATTGCTGATGTAGAGCAATGGGTGTGGTGCAGTTCACTTAAGGCATAATGTAGTTGAAACATATCAGAATTTAAACACAAAGTTTCTTGGCAGACAAAACAAAATGGGAAGGGATACAAATATTATTAAAAATGGAAACACTGTTACAATGATCAGGTGTCAGTATTGGTTTAGCCATTCCCACACACAAACCTACATCTCTTCCAGGGGGAACCCTAATGCTCCTTCACTGCTGGAGATCTCAAACGGCGACGCTGTAGCAGCCTGGGGTGTGTGCTCGTTTGTCTGCACAGTACAGGGAGCACATCTCACATCTGGCTGTTTCTATCACTATTTTAGACTGTAAAATGGCCATGGAGAAATTATTTCTTTCAGTGCCAGGTATCACTTCTGAAGATCGTTTGGAATTCTGAACCAAGAGTGTAAACTATTTTCATGAACTATTTCTTGCACTGTGATAATATTAATTTTTCTTTTTAATATTTTCACCAACAAGTAATTTGATGAAAATGAGTAATTTTGTCATTATACTTAATAAATAACCAAAAGTGAATATGTATGCACAGTATTTAACCTTAACTTGGCATTTCCAAAAGAACTCGTTCTCATTTTGGTGGAGGGCATGTACACAGTGAAACTTCCAAGTGTATTCTCACATCCCACCTTCAGGAGCTTAAGCCATCCCCAAGCTATCCTTAAGTTAGGAGGGGCTGGTCCTCTAGCATCCCTGATGGTGGTGGGAAGAGACAGCAATCTGCAGCATTCATTCGGGAACTCCTCTAGAAATATTCAGAAGTGCTTTTGTATTAATATCGTAGGATCTAAAATACCTTTTTCGAATCAATCAGCCATTTACCGTGCTGTCACAAAGTGGTCTCACAGAGAATGTAATGGAGTCCTTTTAGATGATGGACTGAAGCCAAAATGTGTACCTACACTAATGGTCCCTTTATTGAGTGCCACGTTTCCTGAAAATAATAAGGGAAAATAAACATGGGCTAAATGGCAGGAGCCACTTGGTAATTGCACCCCTCGTTTATTTAATAAAATTCCATGACACACAGGATTTGAGGCAGAAGCCCGGAATTTTTCTCATTACCCACTAGATGTCACCACTGACACAGAAAAAATTGTGAGAATGTATTTTTCTGCCTCTTAGAAGTGAGGCTGATTGTTCTCAGCCCACTTCAAAGAAGTAGAACTCCAATCCAAGAAATTCCAAGAAATTTTCTATGTTCTTTTAAAGCTATGTGTCCTTTGACCTTGTTTATTAGCTGGAGAACTTTGAAAATATTTTACAGGAAACCACACCTGGAATATTTTCTTGAGGCTTGGCCCAGTGTGGTAGTAGGCTTCTCCATTCCTCGCTCTAATTTGCTTTCCTCTGCTTCCCTTACATCCAGAGCCATCTGAATTGCCTGTTCAGTAAAATAAACAGATAAATCCTGTTAGGTACCTTGGTAACTGGAAGTTTAAAATAGACCGTATCCCATTTTCCTATTTTATTATTATCATCTACTATAGCTGTCAACTCAGAGGAGCCCTCTATGACAACTTCCCCTCTCTATGTGATTAACACAATTGCACTAAGATTATGGACAGAAGTGGAGGGAGAGAAAAAAAAATGTCCAGGCAGCTTTATTTACCTAGATTTAGCTGTTCTATGTTTGAATGTTCTTTAACTGTATCAGCAGTGTTGTTTGTTATAATCATCATATTTTTAGACCAATTTTCAGTCATTTTTTTATGTTATTGTTTCACAGAGTAATTGGAAAAGGCAATTGCCATGACCAAGAGGACAGATTTCCTGATAACGCTCAGTAGCCCCTGGCTGAGCTTGTTTTAGCAGTGTACAACAGTAACTGTGGCTGGCTTAGTACAAGGCTTTTTTATTTCCTCATGGGTCACCTAAATTACCAACCATTTTGGTTAGAGTTGCTGTTGCATATCAGAATAGGAAAAAAAATAAAAATTATAATGGCTGTGAGTCTGAGCAATTGCTTGTGAAAGGCCACTGGATTAAAGCATGTTTCCAAAGGTACTGCTTTCTAGTCCAAAAGAAGATGGATTTTGCTGCTTGGGAAGATATTGCTCCCACAGTAAAAAAGCTGCTTGAATTCTGGAATTAATTTTCCTGCTTCTATATTCTGTCCCTGTATTTTGCCTTTTTTTTTTTGCCTAGATTGGAGTTCCCTACTTGCAGTTTTTCCTGGATTGCTGCTTGAGACCAAAGTCAACTAATCTCTAAACCTTGTATGATACATTAAAATGGACTGAATTGAAGTTTATCCCTTTCACACATTTTTTTCCAATTTATGGAATGCAGATATATTAGGACTTCATTTATTATTGAATACTTTAAATAGAATGATTGATGCTTAGGTGTTTAATTCAAAGAAATAAAACTCACAGAAATGGAGTCATGGAATCATAGAATCATAGAATGTCTGGGCTAGAAGGGACCTCCAAAGGTCTTCTAGTCCAACCCCCCATCATAAGCAGGGACATCTCCAACTAGATCAGGCTACTCAGAGCTTCATCTAGCCTGATATTGAATGTCTCCAGGGATGGGGTCTCCACCATCTGTCTGGGCAACCTATTCCAGGGATCTATCACCCTCATACTGAAGAACTTTTTCCTAATGTCTAACCTCAATCTACCCTTTTCTAGCTTATTGTATCCAAAATTTATTAGCATCATGCAAATATCATCCTAAATGTTGCATTGTTACTGTGAGTCTTCTCATACTCACTGTATGAAATAGGCACACGTGGCACAGAGAGACTCTAAGTAGCTCAAGGTTATGAATTAAAAATGTAGAATTCAGACTTTCCCCAACTGTTAAACCATCATTTTTCACTTCTGATGTAATAAAGATATTACACAGAACATCTCTTCAACTCATCCCACCAAAATCTTGACAGCACTCTTTTGAAGGAGTTCTAGTTCCATCAGAACTTTGTTGTTAAGCTAGCTGAGCAATTTCAGAAGCAAGAAAACATTCAGGGAGTAGCAAATTCATCAGCACAAGAAGATGAATGGGATGACATTCTTTTGAAGTTGAACCTTCAGGAGGCCTCTCCAATCATTCTTCCCAAAAAGTATGGAAAAGACTTACATCAACTCATCATAATATGCAAATCGCACTTCAGCCATTGAAGTCGTCTACTTAAAACTAACATACTCCACAGTGTTTGCTCAAAGTTTCTCCCACTTAGTTCCACAGCAGAAGAACAGGGATGAATGCTTCCCTGGTGTGCCACAAACAAGGCAGTGCATGGTCCCGAGATACCCAGCTAATGCGGGCTGAGGTCTCCTCTGCCTCGGTTCTCCTCCCTGCTCCCCACTCTGTACACTCCTTCTTTTTATTATTTTGATCTAATTGTTGTGTCGAACTGCAAGTTAGCTCATGTGGCATGTGCCACTATCTGCTTTTTTCCTGAGGAGCCATGTTTTCTTCCTCTGGGGACAAATCTGTACCTGAGAAGCTGTTTGTACAGGTGCTTATCATTCAAATTGTGGGCGAGGCCCTGAGCAACATCATGTAATATCAAAGGCAGCCCAGACTGGAGCTGTAGGTTGTACTTAGGTGTCTTCCTGAGATCCTTTCCAAACCCGAGTATTCTGTTACTGGGTGTTTCTCCTCAAATACTTTACAGCATGATTTGAAAAATGCAATTAAATATGAAAGATAGAAAAGGTAAACATATTTTGTGTATTTTATTTTGTTTTGCAAGCTTGAGTTGCTGCTCATGAGTTTGCCTCGCTGTAGTAGGAAGAGTTTGCCTACTACAAGGTAAGGGTATATGGATTAGTACTGCCACTGCATGCTTACATTATTTGCCAGCTTGTAGAAAGAAGAAAATACGTGTAGTCTATAATCAAGTAGAGTCTAGAAACACCAGCATACCCTTCTTCAATAGACAGGGGCAGTACGCTGAGTATAGAATGTCTTAAGAAAACTTCTAGGACATAAAAACACTTTTTTTTTTTTTTCGGTGACATTAACACGTACAGGTATAAATGAAGCAAGCATGATATCAAAGAGATATAGTACTTTACAATATGACTTGACGCTTCAAAGAGGTTTATGATTTGGGGGAAGCTATAAATAAAAAGGGTAGATATTTTTAAGCAGTTGAAGCTTCTTCCTTTGACTACGTAAAGTACCTCCACTCACAGATCTCACTTCACAAGCAACGTGTGCCTGTGTTTAATGGAATAAGTTGAAAGCAAAGTATCTATTTGGCCAATCACAGAAACATTATCCTATTTCTTCCTTTTCTGTAACTGAATAATTTATAACCACTGAAGATCTCTCTTTGTATCACCAGGTTTTGTTCTACGTGATGAAAGAGGTAATAAATTGTAAAATATGTACAACAGTGTAACAGATCTGAATTTTTCAGATTTTTGATCTAAAATAGTTCTTCTTCAAGTGTCTTAGAGCTGTTAAATACACATTTCCCACTTTCACTAACACCACTACCACTTGTTTATATATTACAGTTTTCCAAAGTCCTCTACTTTATCCATGGTGTTTGGCTTTGAAGCTGGAATGTCTTCTTTGGTTGAGCTGCTTTATAGCTTAAAAAAATCAGGCCAATGTCAGCGAATGTGAAGGATTCTTTTGAATGTCTTCTTGAAATTCTGGTTACAAAGAGGATACAGGAAAGGATTTAAGGTGGAGTTCACATAGCCAAGCCATATAGTGAACGTGTGTAATTGCAAAAGTTGTTTTTGGCTGTGGAAAGCTACTACCATAAATGATACAAAATAGGGAATCCAGCAGAGCATAAAGGCTGTCATTATGACCCCTAACTGCTTTGCTGCTTTCCTCTCCCTGTTCCCACGCAGGCCTTGAATGTGCTTTTTGGACTGGACGTGCAAACTTCGCCAGTTTTTCCGCAGGTGGGTCAGTCCTCTGAAATCCCTGTTCTCAGTCTTTTCCTGAGGAGTGGAGGCTCTGTGAGTGTTAGGACTGGTGTGCTTTCTGCAGGTCACCTGCTGTGTGAAAGTGACGTTGTCTGATGCATCACCGAAATCACTGTCCTGTGAGCAAGGCTCCTCCTCAGTTTTCTTCTCTTTTGTTACACGCACACACTCCTTCCCTGCTTTACCCAGGCCTGGCTCAGAGCAGGCAGCAGGGCGAGGAAAACAGTTCCATTCGAGGACTTTCCCATTACTCTCGCTAACGAATGTCTTTGAAGACTTGTCAGGATTACTGAAATGAACCTCTGCCTCCATGTTTTGGGTCTGAGGGGAGCTTTGCTTCCCTTTACAAGAGGTGTTGTCATCTAAGATTTGTTTTTGGAGGCAAATATTTTGTTCGTCCTTAGTCTTACTACTATGTGTGGAGTTTTTTTCTGAGAAGGACCAATGTGATCCATTGATGAGCTCTCGGTCCTGACAGTGTTTTCGAACAGCTCTGAATATTTTATAGTAGAACCACAACATCATGACAGAGGGCAGGTAGAAGTTGACAATGGCTGTCAACACTTTAAACCAGGTGACTTTGGAGAATTCGGTTTCACACTTGCTTCCTTTCACTTGCCTTTCACCATTACTGGCAAAAACATGCCATCCTAGGATTGGAATGACCCACATGAAAGAGAGCACCCAAACCCCCAGGATCATCAGGGATGCTCTCGTTTTTGTTCTGTACTTGAGATACTGCAGCGGCTGCTGAACGGAGCGGTAGCGGTCGATGCACAAGATGAAGAGGTTGAAAATGGAGGCGGTGCTGGCCACATAATCCATGGATAACCAGAACAAACAGGCTGGTAAGCCTAGAGGCCACGTCGGGCTGAGGAGGTAAACAATGTTCAGAGGCATAACGGCCGCACCCACGATCAGGTCTGCAATGGAGAGGCTGACGATGTATAAATTGCCAACCGTCTGCAGCTTCTTTTCCGTTTTCACAGCACAGAGCACTAACATATTCATGATGATAGTCGTCAGGGAAATGCCTCCCAGGAACACACCTAGAGGAGCTGAGTGGGGGTTGGTTGAGTTTTCTGATGTGTTTTTCGACATCTTCACAAGAGCACGGAATGAAAGTCAGAGAAGACGTCCAGGCCTTGGAAATTCAGTCTTGGTTTACTCTGCCAGATGAAAATGTGCTGGGTTGCTTTGTAATTTAAACTTCCAGAACTATAGAAAAGAAAAAAAAAAAAAAAAAAAATTTGTTCAATCACCATAGTACTAAAATAAAATAACAAACCTAATCTCCGCACTGTCCCTTTTAGGACTTCCCAAAATAATGAATTTTTACAACATTTTACATGTAGATAATTTAACGAGTTCTGTGAAAACTAGTGGAGCAAGCTCCATGAGCCAATGCAAAATGGCTTGCAGAGATGTTTCGTTGGGCTCCTTGTAAGTCTGACCCCAGGATCTGGAGAAGAAATTTCAGTCCTCACTGTTTTAATTTAGTATATCTCATAAAACAGCTGCTGCTGCTGATACCCTTCCAGTATCTTAGGGGGGCCTATAAGAAAGCTGGGGAGGGACTTTTTAGGCTATCGGGTAACAACAGGACTAGAGGGAATGGGGCAAAGCTGGAAGTGGGCAGATTCAGGCTGGATGTGAGGAAGAAGTTCTTCACCATGAGAGTGGTGAGGCCCTGGAATGGGTTGCCCAGGGAGGGGGTTGAGGCCCCATCCCTGGGGGTCTTTAAGGCCAGGCTGGATGAGGCTCCGGGGGGCCTGATCTAGTGTGAGGGGGCCCTGCTCATGGCAGAGGGACTGAAACTGGATGATCCGTGTGGTCCCTTCCAACCCTGACAGATTCTGATTCTGATTCTGTTTTAGCAGAGGGCTTGTTGGTGTTGGTTTGGTGGTTGGACTTGATGATCTTGGAGGTCTCTGCCAACCTAAGGGATTCTATGATTGTATGATTCTATGATGCATGACATAAACTACATGTTGACAAACCAATTTAAAGTGTATTAAGAAAAAGTCAACCTAATGTAGTGGGAGGTGTCTCTGCCCATAGTAGGGGGCTGGAGCTATCTTTAAGGTCCCTTCCAGCCCAAACTATTCTATGATTCTATGATCATTAGTAGTGATGATACCAGATATTATCAGCAGTTAGTCATCATGAGTGCACTGTGATGTGTAAGCTGCTGTGATAGCAGCTTCTCGCTCTTCACTGAAACACGCACCATTTTATAATGGCTGTAGGCTGTTTGTTGTATATGTACCCCTGCTCAGGAGCTACTGATTTATTTCCTTGTCTGTAATTCTGTTCCAAATACAGGAACTCTAATAATACCGAATAAAAGTGGTTTAATATGTGGATGCTTTAACACTCATTGCGCTGAGCCAAAGCTCACTAATACACAACAGATTTTAAAGAAAACAATAAGCCTAAGATCTTGGGTAACTCGTTAGAATTTCTAAACCCTGATTTCACCACAAAACACTGTCCTTAATTTTTGCTGTCTGGAAAGAGCTTTTTCTACAAGGAAAATCTGCAATCATGATTTGTTTGTTATTGTATCACGGTGATAATTCTTCCCAGGACGAAGAATCTGCTGGGAGATGGTAAGTGGGAGCCTTCCTGACACATTAGTGCAGGTGCAAGCTATTAAGCCTCAACTAAGTGGGAGTAAGTTTCTAGAAACAGATGCTGGCGTGTCCCTTACAGCTAGGTTTTAAAAACCAACAGCTACAACAGAAAAAGACTCAGCTGGAACAAAGTCCTTGTTCATCAGACACAGTTCAAGGCAGGAGGTAAGAGCTGATTTCAGATCACCCAGGTTGACTATTCAGGAACTTATTTGTTTGTAGTGATTTTTAAAGTACTTATTATTTGGGTGTTGAAAATATTGACACGCTTAGAGGTTTGACTAATTTTCCTCTCAAAGACTCATTTCTCTATTAGGAAACAATCCCTGGGCAATGCCTGGCAATATTCAAGGAATATTTTTGATAAATAGTAAATGAAAAAACTTGATAAAGTGCATGCTGTTCCCATTGAAAAGACCCACTGTCTCAGTCCAGGAAAGATCAGCTCTTTCATTTTTTCAGAAAGTTGTACATCACTACCAAAGGAAAGACTAGATTTTATCTATGCTCCAGCTGACTCTTCTAGGTACTCTGAAATGAAAAGGCTACACAGTCTGAGGCTTTAGTGTTTGACCAGTCAAGTTCTAGCAGTCCTCCTAAATTGTCCTCTTCCCCAGAATACCTATTTTAAAGACAGGGAGAGTTATAAGTTATTCTTTTGCTATGTGAACAAACAACTCAGCCTGACTTAAAAATAATTTCATTCCTTGTTTTTATTCTGACTCTTCCTTCGTGCGAAGAAACTCTTAACCAAGAGATTTGGACATCTGGATGTCTAGTTTTACATAACCTTGTTTTGCATGAATTTGGTGGTGGAGAATTTTCAGTGTTTTTTCATGTAAGTGGTGTCTTGGGGCAAAATCAGGCCAGAACTAATATAGCTGATAGATTTCAGGACATCTGCAGTAGGGTTGTCACAATCCGGTACCGAAGGGGTACCGGGTCAGGCTGTTTGTGACTTTTAACTCAGGGAAAACAGAGTAAATCCCCTCACCATGCTCAATAATCAGTGTTGAGACCAGATGTGTGTGTATATATATATATATATATATATATTAGTCCAAAACCAAAATTTATTCTGGTAATTTGCATACTGATTTTGGGAGCTGGGTGCCCTGGGAATTGGTGCAGGTCTTCAGTGTATAAGTGGCAAGTAGCAAAGGTACTGTTTCTGGGGAGGGTAAAGGCAAGCAGGCTGTTTCTAAAGCCCTCTCTATTCCACTTCCAAAGAGAATGGGTGGTCTAATGCTGTGATTCCTCCACCTCCCCTTCCCCTCCTGGTTCTGTCATTCGTCTACCCAATGTAGTGACTAGGCTGTAAAGTTTCAGAGCAAGAACAGAGCAGAATAGGAGCAATGCAGTTACATCCAGACTCCTAAGGCATATTTATTTAATTGTACTCATTCTAAACTACTTTAATTGAAGATGCCTTGAATTTGTTTATGCATTGCTTCTGAACATGCAGTGTGCCATGAATGATCCTCTCAGACTCTGAGCAGTTAGTGAGGGACTATTTAATGCAGTATTGCAAAGGGGCTGGAGCAAGGTCATGCCTCCTGCCCTTTCATACAGTAGCTATATTGCTTAGCTGTTGTCTGGTCTGTGATGCCAAATTTATCCTTGTTCCTCTAATTTGGATGACAATGTTCTAGGATAGCAAGCAGATATGAACAACAAAAGACAGAATGAGGAGCCCATTGGGAAGGGAACTTGAACTTTTAAAGTAACTTTGTGAAGACTTTCAAGGAAGAAACCAAGTATTTGTGATGATACACTGAATTTAACTTGCTCATGTACGGACATTTTCTTTTCAAGCCAGTGATTCTGCTGTGATATTAATATTTTTTATTTGGATATTAGGGATGTCAGGATTGTAGATAAATTCTTCTGCTTTTATTTGAGGAAATGTTACACCCAGTTTCCTAAGAAAAGCATAATCCAAAGAGCAAGAAAACGTTTGGGCAGGCTGAAAGATTTGGAAATAGAAGCGTAAGTTCAACTTGAGGCTTTTAGATGATGTTTGACTTGATTATACTTGATATTTTCAGGTTTTAGTTATTACAGAATCACAGCAGTTGCTTCTGTAGCCAGATCTTTCAATCAAATGGACAGGCTACATGCTGCTGTCAACAGAGATTTTTCTGATTGCTGGTCTTTATGCTTTTATTTGGCTGAGGGTCCTGGCTTTAGTAGGAATGAAATTATCTGCAGTTTTATCTGTCTGCCAGCAAAAAGCTTAGATTCCACAGCCCTCTGAAATGAGGTTTTAGCATGAATAACAAATCATTACATAGAGCCAGGCTCTCCTTGTTATTTGCACACATGCATTCTGAGTCCTTAGTGTTTTATAATGAGCACAGACAGGACTTTGTGAGGAAATGGAGTACTTGAATCTGAGTCACTGCTTCATTGTCTGAGCTCAAATCTTAAGATGCTGTACAAGTATCTGCTTGTGAAAAGACTTGTCCAGCTCAGAAGTAACTGGTGTTCTGACCTTGCCCTCACCTTGCCCTTAGCAGTGTACTGGTCTATTCAATGCATTAAGGATACTGTACTGGCTCCTACCTTTAATCTTCCTCTTCCTTTGCAGTCTGATATCCCTGGGTAGCTACTCTGTGTTGCTGTTGGATTGCAGGAGGTGGGGGACATGAAAAGAAATACCAGCTTTTCATTTTGTGCAGTGAGAACAAACATGCTCATTTTATCACTGTCAAAATTCTTGGGGATCATTTAAAAGCATCATTATATTATTAATATAAAACTTTGCGATTACAAAACAAAAAAACCCTCCCAAATAAAAACAAACAACAAAAAACCCTCTAAACCAACTGTGTAGACAGTTCTGTTGGCAATAGTAGGTAGTTGTGTACCTTAGCTGATTTTATCCTCTTTCCATTTATAAAATACCATGTGGTGCTGCTCATACATGGGAGGAATTCAATTAGTCCCAGAGTTAACTAGTGTGCTTCTGTGGCAGGGCAGGGTGGGCAGACACTATCCAACTTAATAGCATCTAATTTAACTTCTCAATTATGAATGCACATCACTGCAGGGGAATTAGACAAACCATTTTAACCTGTCCAAATCAAATTATTTCTGTAAAATATGGAAGCTTATGACTTCTTGATACAAATGCAGCTTAACTCTGAAGCCGTTGGAAGTTTGAGATGTTTATTGCTTCAACTGTGCCTACACAGGGATACTGATTTGAAGCCATTTGGCATGAAAGGCATGATTTACTACTTGCTTGTCTGACTTGTCTAGGTGGAGAGACACCTTGTGAAATAAATGTTCTGAAACAAACATAATCCAACCCATTGTTTAACTTGAGCCAATACTGACTTTGCAACCTTCTAGCCAGTCTTATGTTTCTGGTTTTGGGTGAGGCTATACACAAGAAGTTGGTTTCAAAACTTAGACTCATACTGTAGAGGCCAGTTCTTGAGCAAAGACTGATCACAGAAA